AGGAGGAGAGAGGTGATGAATTCAAATTTTGGATATCATTGCTTTCTTGTATTTGTTTCTGAGCTTTTGCTTTTGATGTCGGGGGCTGACAGTCGATTTGTAAGCGTTTCATTGATATTTCCGCACCTCCCGGGGTCAGGGTCTTATGGGTCTTTGGGAACTCGAATCTTCTAAAAGATGTTAGACCACTTTGTATTTGCTGGGATAATAATATACGCATTGGATAAGAGAAGTTATTGATATATAAATCACAAGTGTCACCCGAAGGATGTTATTTTGAGGTACACGCTATTATCCAACAATTACACCAAAGCTCCACGGATGAAGGCACATGTTCAAATAAAAGAAAGCTCCATAAAACCTATCACAAAACCTGCTGGGCCTGGTTCAAGTTACCCCACAAACCTCCCGAACTGCTGTCGAAAACAGCCGATGAGTTAGAGTGAACAGGCACACTAGGAAGCGGGTGGTTGCGGCCTTGACTTAGTGCCGAGGAATACTATGAACGAGTTAGCGAGAAAAATGGGTTGAGACAAATCGACTGGGAAGTCTTACCTTGAAGACAAAGTTCAGGACCAAGGCAACTGCCAAACCGATGCAGACTACGATAGGACCGAACATGTTGTCTAGGTCCTTTCCACTCCGCTGGCGGATGAGGCGGGCTCGTCTCTCGTATATGAACCATCCCCATACTGCGGCGAAAATGGCAAAGAATGTGTAGACGACAGCCAGTGCCTGGGCTACCTTGTTGTGCTTGCCAGCCGCATTGTAGAGACCCAATGATAAACTCGACAGGAGGATACTGATATGAAGCCATTTGATGAATGTTCGCTGGTTGGCAAGGTAAACTTTACTTTCCACACGAACGGGCCCGGCATCTTTGATCCAGACGCCGGGGTGTCGAACACCAGGCGGTAGAGAAACCGATTCCCCAAGCCAGCGCTGAGGAGATAGCCCCAAGGAGTGAAAGATGGACTCGAGGCGAGTGGGCGGCTCGGGTTCTTCCTCGGGTTCGAGAGCGGGTTCGGTATCACGGTGCTGGGGCTCTGGGATTGAGGGACGTGAGGGCCGCGCAGCAGGTTCGATGACTGCCGAGGACCTCCGTATAGCCGACGGAGAGCCTGTATTAGAGTATTGGTGGTAAGGCGACCCGACCTGTGGGCGAACACCTGGGCTGCGCGCATCTCCCATGAAGCTGCCCACTGCTATGTTCTCTTCCGCTCGTCGAGCCAGTCGCTCTTGCTCCTCGTGGAATGCGGTTTCAGGATCACGACGAATATCACTTTCAAGTTCACCAAGCCAGAAGGGGAAGCTGTTGACATAGTCTTCAAATAGTGAGGCAACGCCGTGGACGAACTTGGAAAAGCGGGGAGCATCCTTGACCAGGTGGGAGACCATCAGGTCCTTGACCCACTCGGTGTTATGGGCCTTGCCTCGAAGCTGGATCTCGAGCAAAGCGTGAGGGAAGCGAGTGATCTCTCCCGTCCTGACAGCATTGAAGGGATAAGTCATATCGGCACCGTCCAAGTCGGTACGGTGCCACTCAGCTGGATCGCGACATGGACGTTCACTGTCAAGGGTATCTTCCCGAATGAGCGCAAGGTTGGTATCGAGGGAGATACGAATGCGATCATTGCCAGGTATTTGGAAGGCAGTGCGCGTGTAGTTGGCCCGAAGCATGGGTTGCAGGTCATTGTCCTTGATGAAGGACTGCAGCTCATCCACGTCCTTCTTCAAGGCTTCGGCGGCCGCCGACTCGCCATTGTTTGAATCCTCCATGCGATGGAGCTTTTTATCGAAGCGGTACTCGCCGTCCAAAAATTCCTTAATGTGCTTTTCTTTCAGCTGTACTTTGACTTGTCGACTTTCGTCGTCGTCGGTGACAATCTTCTTTTCCAATTGGATAGTAGGTTTGTCTTTCAGTGATCCCGTCCAGCGCAGTCGCAAAGATCCGGCTTCGGGTGCTCGTGCGACCTTTTGATTGTAGAGATCAAACTGAGGGGAATCGAAATAGAGAGAAGTAATGGTGGGGTCTTCAGTGATGGTATCGAGGTCCTTAGAAGTTCCCGGCCTGTAGATAAGAACCGGCAATCGACGAAGGATGTGAGTCTTGACCTCCAAAACGTTGTCTGAGTGAACCCAGAATTTGTAAGACGAATAGGTCTCACGGCCAAATCCATGCTCTGCCTCCCTTGGTTGCACGATGTCATGGCTAAGGGTTTCCCGAACAAAAGAGTACATGACCGAGAGCCGATGGACCAACGGCGAATAGTCTTCTGAGTTGAACGGCAATTGCGACAGTCGCACTTGGAGCAAAGGTTTCACTCGGTATCGGGCTCCTCGTTTGCGGTCATGCTTCTTTGCAGCCTTAAGGAAGCCAGTGAAATTGATTCGGCTGTACTTTTCCAGAGCACTGACTTCCTTGGTGATGTTATCGAGTTCTTGGAGAACTTCTGAGGCAATAGCCCTCTTCTTCTGTTCATCGAGAACGGGCGGTTCTTGCTCCGGAGTAGATGCCAAGGGTCGTAGTTTAACTTCGCATGCCGTTGTTCGTTCCCGGAGTTGCTGCGACGTCTCTGCTTGGAAAGAATTGACCTTGTCCAGTTCTACATTAAGTAGTTCCTGCACAAAGGCTTCCTCATCTTGCTCAGTCCATTGATCGTCATCAGAGTCACTGGCATCTTCTCCGTCTCGGGTGACATCATTCTCCCTCAGCAAGGTCTTAAGCTTGTTGTAGTCAATGTACTTCCCTTTCCAGGGAGGGTACACCGCAGCACGGAGGGTTTTCCCAAACCGCATTTTGAGCCAGTCCGGTTGTGAATGGCGTTGTCCAGTTGTTACTCAGAGACGGCCGAGTGGTATGCACCTCTGATTGGGGGGAATCTTCGGAAGGGAGGAAGATATAAGAGAGAGAGAGGATCGAGACAGGTTGATCTTTAGAAAAAGCAAAGCAAGAGCTCAGATTCAATTGCAGATTGAAAAATATGAGACGCCCCCAAAAAAATAGCTCATTAGCTTCGAGACTAAGCGATGGATATGTCGCAGCTTCCCGACTGAAAGCGTTCGATAGCCAGCGATAGACGCACGTGCTCGTTGAATGAGACCAATCAGAGCCCAGCAATGGATGAGTGGACGACTAGCTCGTACTAGCTAGTACTAACTGGTCGTATAATCTTTGTTCCGACGGTATTATATGTTATCTTACAGTACGACAGTATGGGAGTACGGGCTAGACCGATATCGCCAACGTCGGGACCAGAGAGAGGCACGTGCACATGGACTCTCCGATACCGATATCCTCCACAATCCAAGGATCCCGAGGTCCCTTAAACATCGAAATATTAGATACACAACTTGATGGAGGCCAAGTCTGCACAAACTCCGGGCCTGTCCCATCATCTGCATGGCGTATTAGCCGAGCTACATGGTCATCCTTATCCTTACGTACCAAACCCCCCAACCTGCAAGAAACGCGCCTCGGTTGCCTTGATTATTCGGGTACGACCAACCTATGACCATTGGCCCAGCTCAAACCCCACAAAAGATGCTTCTCAGCCAGTTCAACAACGTTTAGATGAGTTCTTTTCACAGCCATGGGTCCAGCATGGTGAACCGGAGGTTCTGTTCATTAAGCGTGCTTCGCGCGTGGGGGACCGATGGACTGGTCATGTTGCCCTACCGGGCGGAAAGCGAGACCCAGAAGATGCAGATGATAAAGCTGCAGCTATTCGGGAAGCTTCAGAGGAAATTGGATTGGATTTGACAACGGAGGATACTATTAGTGTGGGCAATCTCCCTGAGCGTGTGGTTACTACCAGCTGGGGGTCCGAACCGTACGAATACCCCATTCATTCACTTTCTCGCCGCTGAGAACTGGATTACTGACTTGAATGGCAGGTTGATGGTTCTTTGTCCTTTCGTCTTCCTCACAACTCGCAGTGACTCCCCGACCCTTAGATTACAGCCCACGGAAGTAGCATCGACACATTGGATTCCCCTGCGCGCCCTCCTATCACCCTCGCTGCGTACTGTGGAATATGTGGATATGTCGCAGCGCTTCGCTCGACAAGGCGGGTTTCTGACCCGTCTTGCAGTTCGGTCTCTGATGGGCTGGATGCAGTTCTCCGCTGTCAGGCTCCTCCCGTCGGAAACCAATCAATGCACTACAACTCCAGGGTTTGTTCCTGAAGAGAATACACCTAAACCTTCCCTGGCCCAGCGCTTCAAGGAATGGTGTCTGGGTGGGCAAGCGGATTCGAGCGATACTGCCCGTCCGCTACTCCTCTGGGGTCTCACTCTCGGCATCCTGGCTGACTTCTTGGATATGCTCCCTCCCCATCAGGCTGTGCAGTTGTGGAAATATCCAACATTCACCGTGCCTGATCTGCGGCTGATTGTAAGCATTGTGACTTATAACCTGCGGAAGCGTAATGCACTCAATGTGAGATCGGGTGCTCGTCCTATTAACACGGCCGCTGATAACGAAACGGCCGCACTTCCAGTCACACAGGAGACGAATGTTGAACATGATCACAATGAAGTGGGCATCGGTGGTCTTGGGGTGGGAAGATATTATGGTCCGACAGACCAAGCAACAGATGGGACTTCTTATGCCGTTGGGATCATGCTGCGTGGGTATTATGATCAGTTGCGCATGGCAATCTGGGTTTTCCTGGCCTGGCGTGTAGCCATTGGTTCAATTGCTGGTGTCTCAGCCTGGCGAATTCTTCGACGACTGCGTTGAAGTGTACATTAGCAATATACAGCAATAAAGATGCATATAATAATGAAGATTTATATCGTATGACCTCAAATCACATGTTTCGGACATGCCGGAAATACAAATACCAAATTACATAATCTGTACCCAAAAAAAAAACAGCTCATTACGGTATGTCAGATTAGAGAGCTCCCCACATCCTTTTTGGGGGGTAAACATTGAACATTGAACATTGCACACGACCATCTTCCGCTTCACCATCTCTTATATTTCACTTGTCATGGCAGCAGCTCAGAAACTTTACCCACGAGGAACAGTCAAGCGCATTGTCAAAGCCCACTCCAATCGGAGTGTGAGCAAGAATGCCGACATCCTGGTACGCGGTCATCCTGATATGAACCCTCTCTGTTCTCCAGTGGCTAATACGAGCTTTATAGATCTTTTTAGACTACATGTTGTTCATGCAAGAGTGCGTCTCCATTTATCCTTGTGGGTTGGTCTATCGGTCGCAACCCTCCGATTCGCGCTCTCGTCGACATGATTGAACTGGCGATGGACTAACACATTGTAGGTTAATGCGCGAGGCATCGATTCAATCGCGCAAGTCTGGAGAGAAGAATATCTCAGCGAATACCGTGCGCAAAGTTACCGAGGTGCGTTTGAAGTCGATCTACGAGCTTCCCCAGAAGACTCGTGAGAACCAACAGCTGACAAGTATGGGTTCCTTTAGAAAACACTGCGCAAGTTCCAGGGATAGAAGAGTCTAGGATATAACCTCATATGTCATTATGGCGAAGACCTGCCTAGCATGTATTTGAAAGACGAAGGCATTGGGGATACTTTTGTGATATTATGGCGCTGGCGAATGTGAATGTGATACCCTGGGGCAATACAATGGAAGAAATGATCAAGTAACAAATCGATCACCTAGTAAATTGCGCATTTATAGATACTATGTATACAATATAGAGCAGATTTGTGTTTGCCTAATTGTTCAACTCGCGTGCTAACGCGTTAAGAGAGTCTGCCCCAAAGCCAGTGGGCCACACCGACCAAGAAAGGGTTCCCGACCCGCATGTTGATTCTTCCTTCATAACACCCATCTTTGCTTCAACGTTATCACGTTTAATTCTTCATTCCACTCCTGTACAAGCTTTTCGGAAATATTTTAATATCTGTGTTACCCACATTCCCATCATGCCTTCCGCTTCCGCTACCCAGAAGCTCAAGGAGGAGAAGGGCTCCCGAGCTTCAAGCGTCTCCAAGGATCCTGAGAGTCCTAGCTCTGATCTTCAAGAAAGTAGCTATCTCAAGGAGCTGCAGAAGTATGTTTGAGATTTTTTATACCTGGTTGCATGGCTATTGCTTATGCGCAAGTGAAAGTGAGCTAACTGTATGCCCCGTTTAGGACACTTCGCAATGCCGTGAAGAAGTTGGTGAGTCATTACCGAATGTTCTTTGCTTTCAATTGTTCCTTTTCATATATTTCTAACAAATTTTTTTTTGCCCAGAACTCCTTTGCCAAAGTCGACGCCATCATCGCCGAAAACCCCAACAAGTCGCTTGATGAACTGATTGAGGAGAAGAAAATCAACAACGACCAAAAGGCCCAGGTCCTTAAGAAGCCTACTATTCAGGCTATCATTGCCCAGGCTGAGGAGCAGATTGGTCACTACAAGCAATTCGCTGCCCAATACGAGGACCGTCTGGTTGCCCAGAAGGCTGAGCTTGTCAAGGCGCATGAGGCAGAGCTCGAAGCTGTCCGTAATAATGCCATTGCCGATGCAACTGAGGCTTCCAAGAAAGCACTACACCAGCAGTTTTATACCGTGACTAAATTCTTGTGCGCTGCGGCCATCCTTCGACGTGACGGTGATGCCGTCACCACTGAGAGCCGGGCTTTCGAGGGTGTTCTGTTCGAGGTGTATGCTGGCAACCAGTCTGCAGTCAATTCGCTGCTGAAGATTGCTGAGGGTGCCGATGAGAAGGTCAATGCTGTTGAGGGGACCACTCTTGATTTTACCTGTCAGTAATGAATCCCTCACCCCACCCCCGCCCCCACCCCCGCCAAATATCATTGAATGTGTTTGTTGACATTAGATCTTTTTAGATGGCGACGTGAAGCAAGCATCTGACAAGTTCGCTCCTCCCGAAGAGACTACCGAGGTTGCATCAGAGGCAACCCCCACAACCGACCCTACGACCGACCCTACCGTGGCCAACGCTGGACTGACCGAGCTCCAAGATACCTCTTTCGGCACTCAGGCTGAGCCCGCAGCTTCCCAAGTTGATCAGCTGGCCCCTCCTGCGCAGACTCTGGTTTCTGATGCTGGAAACTCTATTGCGGAGCAAACCTGGGCTCCTACTTCCGATGAGAGCAGCGAATGGGTCAAGCTTCCTCGCAACCCTGATGAGACCGACACTGGCCTCCAGGCTACTCCCGCTAGTGCTGATGCGGGCTTGAACAATGGTTCCGTTGGCGCTGATATTTCGACTCAGGGCGAGAATGGTGCCAAGACTGGTGGACGCCGCCGCCACGGACAGCGTGGTGGCCGCGGCCGAAATGACGCTAAGCGTGCTGGTGAGGGCCGTGGTGGTGAGGGCCGTGGTGAAGGTCGTGCTGGTGAAGGTCGTGCTGGTGAAGGCCGTGGTGGTGAAGGCCGCGCTGGCGAAGGTCGCGCTGGCGAGGGCCGTGTCGGTGAGGGCCGTGGACGCGGTGGACGACGTGGCGGTCGTGGCGGACGTGGTCGAGGCAGCGCAAGCGGCCCTGCCTCTGGCTCGGCGGAAGCCCCTGCTTCCAGCGAGTAAGAGTGGCAATCCTAGGATGTCAGTTGGAACCTGCTGGTTTCGAGATTTTGTCTCGAAATGTTTGTTCCAACGAGGGATTTCTGGGTCTGTCTTCTCGGGACTGGCCTCAGCAGTTTCTGCTCCGATGTGATGGCTCACGAACGCAACGAATTTTCTTCACGGAGAGTCACTTTGATCTCTTCGTCTGGCTTTGCCAAAGTCTTCTTGACCATGTCCTGCGATTTTTTTCAGCGTGCATATTCCCGATCCTCAGAGAGCTTCTCCCACGACATACATATGTATTCTATGGCTAATTGTTTTATCGGCGCTTGTGAACGGACCGGTGGACAGGCTTAGGTCGGGCATAGATCGAAATTGATCATAATGAGTGCACCATTACTTTCCAAGATTTATTCTAGATAACATTATCTTTCAGTATGGACCGCTTTCACTCGAAAAAAACAAGGTCTACTACTTAAACTAGCAGCAGTAGTCAATGGTAGATGATACTACTAGCTACTAGTATAAATGTGTCCAAGATGTGGACTTTATCACGTGATGTGATATCCCGCTCGGCTGAGGAAACGGGGGGTTTCTCAGAGTTACCTCTGGCTTGCAGTAGCGTAATGTAATGCTATTACAAGGAACCGAATCAAATGCTGAACAATTATGCATGACCCAACGAAAATAAGCGAATACGATTGAAATTTGAAATACGCGTATTCTTTAATTACTAGCGCATTTTTGGATGAAACTCGGTTTCAGAGCAGGACGCTAAACCACGATAGGCAAGAGAAGTAAGCCATACGCCCAGTGGAGCTCTTGGCGTGGGCGTATTCAATCTGATAAATACATCTTTGTACTCTTTGTACACTTGTACAAGTGTCAACTTCTCGAGATCATTGTCATTCTTCATATTTTGGCTTCTCTACAATCTCATTACATCTTCTATTCTATATACGGCGCCAGCAACAATGGCCATCGCTGGCGCCCAACGTAAACAGGTGCTGAAGGTGTTGATACTGTCACTGTTGTTGGATTTGGTAAGATCAACCTTGGAAGCTAACTTCTCTAAGCCAACAATCACATTTACTCAGACTGACAATATCTTCAGATCTCCTTTACATTCATTCTGCCACTCTTCCCTTCGCTGCTATCGTTTTATCGCGCACAAGATCCGTCCCCGGATTCCCTCCTCAACCGCATCTTCCACTACCTAAACGCCTACAAGAACTCCTTCGCACGCCCCATTGACTCACGCTATGACATCGTACTCCTCGGTGGAGCCCTTGGCTCTTTATTCTCCCTCCTCCAAGCCTTCGCTGCACCCGTCATAGGCCGCCTATCTGACCGCCATGGCCGCCGACGTGCCCTGCTCACCTCCATGCTTGGCAACCTCTTAAGCGTTGCGCTGTGGGTGTCAGCCACGGACTTCCGTATGTTCCTCGCTAGTCGTATTGTGGGCGGCCTAAGCGAAGCAAATGTGCAAATGGCCAATGCCATAGTGGCGGATATCACAGATGAGGAGCGCCGCGGCTCCTCCATGGCATTGATTGGGGCCTGTTTCAGTGTCGCATTCACTTTTGGGCCGGCACTGGGTGCGGCGCTCAGCAGTATCAATATGGTCGCCGAGAACCCGTTCATTGTTGCTGCAATTGTGTCTTTTGTTTTGATCTTTATTGAGACCGTGTATCTTTGGACCTGTTTGCCCGAGACGCATCCCCGCTTGACGACGCTTCAGATGGAGGGCGAGAGTATGTCCGCCGAGAAGAGTGAGGCGTCGAATAAGAAGACAGAAGAGAAGAGCAGTGCTCCCGTTAAGCGCACCCATATAAACAGCCCGGTCCTTCTCAATGCCCTCCACTTCCTCTTCCTACTCCCCTTCTCCGGTCTGGAGTTCTCTCTCCCTTTCTTGACTACAACGCTCTACGCAGGATCAGCCACGACAGCCAGTCCCGCCGCATTGAACGGACGGCTCTTGTCCTTGATGGGATTGATTGCCTCCCTCCTTCAGGGTACGCTGGTGCGCCGTCTCCCGCCGCTGATCACCCTCCGTGCGGGTGTCGTGGCCTGTACCATCTCGTTCTTCTGTCTTGCTCGTGTTTCTTCGCCCTCGGGTCTCTATGCTGCCGGTGCTCTGCTGGCAGTAACGACTGCGACAGTTGTTACGTCACTAAACAGCCTGGGCAGCTTCGAGGCGCAGGACGCAGACCGCGGCGCGGTCATGGGTCGTTTACGGGGGTGGGGACAAGCTGGTAGGGCGACTGGCCCTATTGTATTCTGCTCTCTGTTCTGGTGGGCTGGCCGTGAGGCTGCTTATACTGCTGGCGGGTTCGCCATGTGTGTTGTTACAGTTGCGGCTTTCGGCTTATTGAAGTCGCCTGTTGTGCACAAAAAGATGGAATAATCCACATAGGTACATATAGAAACATTATAAGAAGCCTACTTAATATAAAGATGGTTCACGATGTCTTGCCGCCTTTTTTTATATCTCAAACTTTGAAGAGAACAGTATCAGTGTCAAAAAGTCTCTCCATCTCCCTCTTTTTGGTTTGAATTTTCCATTTATGTGGTTTTATTAGCTTTCTGGTTTGTTTAGTCCAGGGTATAATGTACAGAAGAGTGGTGATAGTATGTCTCGAGGATGCCAGCAGACAAGGTCAAGTGAAAGAGAGGAGTTCAATATCAAAACAGCGCATCCCTCGACGCCCATAACCAGACGCCGTTGCGCATTGAACCAAAAAGAGGTTTGGATAAGAAAAAAAATACATGAACACGCCGGTCATTGTCCGTTCTTTCAATTGCCCTGGAGATTTTTCATTCGATGAAAGATTCACTAGAGGTAATATCGAATAAGAGGGTGCAGTCACGATCTCCGGCCATTGCCAGAAACGAGCGCATGATTTTGACCAGTCGCCATAGCAAGTCCGGCATTGACAGCCGGGTCCAACGAGCCACGTGCTTTGCCAATAAGCCAGTCAGTGAGAGTCACGAATTTAGCAGTTCGGTCCCAGCCGTCCGCTTCATCGGCATGCTCGATAGTGTGAGTCAGGATGCGACCCTCCTCATCGAAAGAGAAGATAAAGATACCGGTGAATTGCTCTTCCTTTGATAGCTTGAAAATAGGCTCTTCACCACCAAGAAGGACACTCAAACCTTTATTAGTGCTGTTCGTGGAAGCCGAGAGGTGGCTATTTTGTGAGGATGGGGTAATTTTCGAGGTTGTAGAATTGGTATTCGAAGAGGCTGGACCATGGAAGGGACGACTGTCCGTTCGTGGCTCGGTTTTCCATCGTACTAGTAGGCGCTCATCGCCGCAGTCATGGTGGGCGCCGTGATGCGTGGGGTCGAGCAGCGTCCCCGCGCGTACGATCCTTTCGCTGATAATTTGCAATTTCACATTGCCGACTAGTGGTACGCTACTCCATGCCACCGGAACAGTCCATAGTGCTGCGCGATAGAGTGTGCGTCCTTTGACAGTGGGAAGGTGTGGGTGTGTGGATGGGAACAGGTGAAGGTTGACACTCGGGGCGAGGATTTCAGTGGGTAAGGTGTTGTACAAGATGGTCGGCAAGAGGGGTGAGAGGGTTCGTAAAGCTTTGATCGTTAGCTGATCGGTGTTTCTTTTTGAAAATGAGAGGAGATAGTGAGTACACACTTTTTCCGAGTTTCAAGGTTCTTTCATCTGGCGGTTTGTGATCGGTTTTCCGAGGGCCTTCCCATTGCTCTCTCCGTACCCAAGCCGGGGAGAAGTATGTGGTTGGTAGAGGTGTAGCTAGAGCTGGAGCTGGAGGTAGCCAGGGCTCATTGAGAAGGCCATGACGAAGTTGCGCTAGTCGCTGTCGCGAAACCGAAGCAAAAAGCCTGCCGAAGACAGGGCTCTTCGGCTGATTGGGAAGAGACGTGCGCAGAGAGACCAGCTTCAGCATTCTGCATTTCAGAAGCAGTCTGATTTTAGTATGTTATCAAGCCATGTGGATACGTTGGGAGGTTGAAGTTGCTCGGAATCGGGCAGTCGGGGAAAATGACATTGCGGGAGCCAATCACGATGCTCTGGTATACAATTTTATACAACTTATATCTTCACCAAATAAGTACAATATATGACAGTTTTGCAAGTCTACAGGTCTATAGGTTTACAGGCCTGACCTTTGGGACTAATTTTGAATCTTATTCGTAAAACTTCCATCCTCAAGCCAGTTCATCATCGTCTCCCATTCCCATGACACGTCGTTCAGCCAGATCGCGGATCTTGTCCTCTAGAACGCCACGTCCATAACGCTGCGCAACCTTAGCGGCCGCCTCGAGCATCTTACCATTGCGATCCGTCATCAAGGCCACCAGCTCCAGCGCCTTCATACCACGCTCCTCGCCCTCTCTGCATTCAATGGCCAGCATCTGCAGCAAGTTCTTATCTAAGTCGAGCTCCCTCCGCGCCAAGTCAGAGCGCTGGCTTGCTGTCGCATTGGTCGACGAGAGAAGGTCGCGGAAGAGCGACAAAAGTACGTTTCCACGTACGAATGATTCCTCGAAACGGGCACCCTCGGCTGTCGTGTCTTCGGATTCGCTGGAATCCTTCGGGGGAGCACTGGCAACTGGGATCTGGAAGTCGAATTCACTGAGCAACGGCCGCGGGAAGTAAGGGTTCTTGTCGCCACCCTTGAGAATGATACAATGGAACTTGTCTTGTGCGACAGCCACTGGCCAGTATGTCTCTTCTTTCCGCCCTCCCGCGAGACGGGCCATTTGCTTCGTGTCCAAGAGTGGTACCCATCGGGCTTGGCCGGGTGTGCGCCAGTGTTGCAGAACTAGTAGGACGCCAGTCGAGTCATAGATACAGGGATCCTAAGAAGACGGTTAATTCCGTATTCAATTCTTCTGTTTTGATAGCGCATACCCCATTATCGGAGAAGAAAACACTCTGCAAAGAAGCCCCTTCCGGAAGGGCGACAGTGTCTTCGTTTTGGCAAATCTCGTCGCGTTTGACATTTTCCACCGTGTATCGCAAAGTTGCATGGCCATCAATCCCTATAGGGCCGTTTCCAATACTCATAATGTAGTTACGCCAGGCCGCGCAAGTCACAGCTTGGCTCTTCTGCCGGTACACCTTGAAAGGAGTTCCAAAGAGAGTGTACACTCGAACGTAGTCCTTTGATGTGACAACGACAATGTATGAATCGCTGAGTGCCAGAGCTGATAACGAGCATTAGTAGGATGCTTAGATTGGGTATAGTAATTTGAAGTCTTACCTCGAATTTGTTCTCCCTCGGGCAATTCAGTCCGCCAGTCCGCTCGTGCAGTCCACGTTTCGTGTGGCCGGTAAAAGATAGTGGCCGGACTACCATCCGAAGGGTTATTGGCAAACAGTGTTCCGTTGTCATCTATACTTGGTCAGCCAAACTTTCAACACAAAAAGACAAGACAAGCGGGAAACTTACTTAAACAAGCCTTGTCGTACATATATGGATCAGTGAAGTGGAAGTCTCGATGAGCTTCTCGGTCATAGAATTCCACAGTAACAGTGTGATGTGTCTCCTGGTCCACCGTCCAGACAGCTCCCGTCAAGTTCAGGCCTAGGCTAGTTAGCAAATTCACTTCAAGGAAGTTGGAACAAGAACACACAGAGATATCTCCTACTCCCGGCCCAAGGTGTGCTGCCGGGTTGAAGAGGTGGATGGGCCTTGGGCTTCTCAAACCCAGAGTAAAGGCGCTTGTTACTAGTGCCACCGAGATCATCGAGATGATCGTTTGGCCGCTTGCCATACAAGTTTAGTTCCTCGTCGGCATAGCCAGCCCCATCATCATCCTCGACGAAATCCATCATCTGGTCATCTCCACCAAGGATGTCATCCAGCGAGTCTGGAGTTCCTCTTCTCGCCGCTCGCTGGATGGCCTCCTTGGATCGCTCTGCCAGCGTGGTTCGCCCAACATTGTTGGAGATCTCGCCCAGAGGCCCGGGCAAGATAGGAGCAGCCTGCAGCGGTTTCTGCAGGAGAGACTCATGATCTTTCGGCACAAAGTTATCGTAAATAAAAAGTTCTCCGTCTGAAGTTGTGAATGAAAGTGAGTTCTTAGTCGGATGCCAGGATAGGTTCATGACATTTCCAAAGTCGTATCGCTGCAATATCTTTTGCGTCTTTGCTTCCCATAGCACAATATAACCATCTGCTGCTGCAGATGCCAGAAGGGATCCGTTCGGGGCCCAGCTCAAGGCCGTGATGTCGCCGGTATGACCGCCAGTGAATGTTTTCTCTTTCTTCCACTCCGAGGTTGAGTAGATAGAGATATCTCTGGTCGCCTCCGCAGAAGCAAATGCAGTACCATCCGGATGCCATACTGCTCTCGATGTCGCCTCGGCATCTGGCTCCAGTCGTCGAATCACTCCATCGAGTTTGCGGACTAACTCCGGCTCCTCTTCGTGCATGGAGTATATATAGAGGATTCCATCTGTGCCGGATACTGTCGCATATCGGCCACTGGGATCGAATGTGACATGCTTCGTTCCCTTGGATTGTTCCCGAAGATACTTGACTTGTGTCATGTCGTCGACTTTCACGATCTTGACTGTGAGCTCACTAGTCCACCAATGTTAGCATCCAATCCTGTATCTGGCACAATCCCTCTAACACTCACTCGCTTGCTACCGCAACCCATTCCCCGTCTCTCGTCACTGCAATGTCCCGGACCGGTAAAGCGCATCGTACAAGCAAGTTTTGCATCTTGCCCGATATAATGTCGTACTTCCAGACTGTTCCATCCTCGGCACCCATGATGAAAGACCGATTCTAGCAATCCTGTCAGTTCCTTCGGCGGATCTCGAGTCTTCCGTTCCAACATACCGTAGCACCAATGCCGAAATGCGCGTCAACACCTTCGTCGATGGTCTTGGGCTCTCCATCTTCGCCAACCGTGTAGATACGAATTGCCGAGTTAGAGCCACCAGTAATGATCCGTCGTCCGTCAGGTGTGTAGGCCAGTATCGTTGTGCCAGGCGTGTCTATGTGAAAGTCGCGTTGTCAGTAACTATTGAATTCTCCCCAGGTCATCAGCCTGACTTACGGGCTGGGCGCCCCCGTGGGCGAAGAGGGTCGAAACTCATTGCAAACGAGACCTGACGTAGATAATTCAATCAAGTTGCAACTAGAAAGTCTGGAGCATCGTTCGATCTTAATCTGGTGGATCGCAAATGGCCAGGGATCTACAAGGTCAGACGCGTCCGCGTTACGCGCCTTGATTGATTTAACCCGATTGGGTAATGAGATAGGGCTCAGGGCTCAGGGTAAGGGCCCCCTTTCCTCTAGACATTCCCAGCTTCGATTGATCAAAGGTCCTATTGTTTAATATTGAATTTGTATCAGAAATAGATTTTACGTGCTGGCACCTCCTGCTGTTAAGAAATCAAAGTCTGCTCCCTCTTGTGCTTGATTCACCGATCGCTCATACAACCCGCGGTAGCCTCTCCTCTGCTTTCTTGCTTGTGTCTCTCTTACAAGACTCTGTCTGCGTTTCTCGATTCGAGTCTGTAATACTGCCTCGGAAACTTCCAAATGCAACTTCCTAGTCTCGATATCGCAGATAATCAAGTCGCCGGTCTCCACCACGCCAAATGGTGACTCTGGCAGCGCAGCTTCAGGCGAGATATGTAGGATAATGGTTCCACCCGCGGTCCCTGACATTCGACCATCCGAAAGCCGCAACATATCCTTAACTCCTGCCTCTGCTAGCTTCTTTGGAATCGGTATAAGACCAGCCTCTGGCATACCTGGATTGCCCACTGGGCCGATGTTTTTCAGGACCAGCACACTGTCCTTCGTGACAACAAGGTTCGGATCATCGATCCGCTGAGCAAGGTCAGCTGAATTTTCAAATACTACAGCCGGTCCAGTATGTGAGAGTAAGTGCCGATATTTTGAGGCCGAGGCTTTGAGAACCGCCCCGTCTGGGGCAAGATTGCCACGCAGAACAGCCAACGATGACGCGGGAAACAAAGGATCCGACATTGGCCGAATAATCTGTTGTGCAAAGGAAAGTCGCTTGGATTGGGACGCATCGAGAACCTCACCCAGAGTTTGCCCAGTAATTGTCAGAGCAGAAAGATGGAGCAAAGGCCTAAGCACATGCAACAGCGCCATCATGCCTCCTGCATTGTGAAAATCATTCATATAGTTATCTCCACTCGGCTTGAGGTCAATTAACAGCGGGGTTTTGCGGCCAATCTCCTCAATAGTATCTAAAGTGATGACTCCCTGCAGTTCTGGATGCCTGTTTGCAATAGCGAGCAGGTGAACAACGGCATTTGTCGAACCCCCGATAGCCTGGAGCACTGTGATGGCATTCCAGAACGATTCCTTAGTCAGAATTTCTTGTGGCTTTCTCTTGGACTTTGCAATTAAAACTGCATTTGCACCAGTCTCCTCGGCAATTCGCAGTCGTGCGGATGATACTGCTGGTGCAGTTGCACCCCGAAGCGGCATCATTCCCAACGCAGCAGTCACACAAGCCATTGTACTAGCAGTCCCCATGACACCACATGTCCCCATCTAATTGAGTAGCCATTGTGGTTAGCAAGCTAAATGTCCCCCATATTTGATGAGAACGCATGTGCACATACAGTTGGAGCAAGCTCTTCATTGATGGCCGAGATCTCTTCGACGTCAATTTCACCCGCTCGAAAAGCCGCCCAGTTGTTTCGGCAATCAGTGCAGGCTCCAATACGCTGACCGCGGTGGCTTCCTGGCATCATTGGGCCGGTGATCAGTGGTAGGATTGGCTTGTTGGCAGAGATGCCACCCATCAACTGAGCAGGAACGGTTTTATCACACCCTAGATTCTGTCAGCGACTATTCCCACCTGACAGGAATCAATTTTAAAAGAAAACGCTCAGAACTCACCCCCAATCATTATACAAGCATCCAACGGCTGAGCCCGGATCATCTCCTCCGTGTCCATGCTCATAAGATTCCGCAGGAACATGCTGGTTGGATGCGAGAATGACTCGGCAACACTGATGGTAGGAAATTCGATCGCCAGTCCTCCGTTGAGTTGCACGCCGCGCTTGGCCGCCTCAATAAGCTGGGGCACATTGGCATGGCAGGGATTGAACCCGGAGAAAGTGTTGATGATACCCACGATTGGACGTGATAGCGCATCTTCTGAATATCCGAGTGCCTTGATAAACACTTTTCGAAGAAAGAGGGAGAAATGGGCATCTCCATAGGATGTCAGGCCCTGGCGAAGTCCAGTTGTGGATATGATTGGGGTTGTGAGGTCGTAGTCCCTATTGGGATTCTGTTCGTCCATATTTTATTATTCTTCGATTTTAAACAATCCTTCAAGACTACAGAGAAACCGTAGCCACATTGATTAGGCGACTTATATATTCCCCTTCTCTTAGTGGATGGTGTCATCGGTGCAAGGCCGATCCGGATATTAATCCGAGCCGAGGAAGTATATGGAATGTATGAAGTATATGAAGTATATGAAGTACATGAAGTAAGTATATAGAATATATGGTCATGAAATTAAATTTATTAAGCTCTCTCTCTTTAACAAAATGCCAATGCAATGCTTCAAATCTATACCCTCAATTTCATTTTCACTCGCAGCTCTTTGGTCGGTCGGAAAGCCCCCCAGCTAGTCTTGTGCCCTGGAACTGAGAGGAATTTACTATTTGTGGGCTCAATATCCCACAAGACCACAATCCCAGCAGTGAAAGTCAAGATAGCTCGCTCAGTAAAGCCATTGTTTGTCGATCCATACAATCCATCCGCAAAGGGAGCGAGGATGTTTGAATCAGCTCGTTGTTTTCCCGTTGCAGGATCAGTCACGAGAAACCGTAGGGGATCATACTGCTCCGGGTTTGAGAAGTATCGAGCATCGTGGTAATAGGCACCATGGGGCACAATAATATCCTCGCCCTTTGCAATCTTGTATGTACGGGGCTCCGTCAGACCATAAGCGGCTTCTTCTGCCGACTCGGAAAGTGTCACATCGGACGCCAGGTTGTTGAATGATATTCCTGCTGAATGAAGGCGCACAGTCTCATAGTAACACGCTTTGAATAGCGGGCAAGATGTGAGTACTTTTTCAATATCCAGAGAGAGACGAGGGGGTTCATCAAAGGGGAACCCCGTTTCCTCACGGGTTGGTCTGGAAGCCACCACGTACGGAGCAATCTCTTTGCGGACTTGATCGAGAAGTGAAGGCTCGGCATAGAGATGAGTAATTGTCCAAAAAGTGATCTTAGTCGTGTGTTCAATCAGATCATAATACAGAGACAAGTGCCCTGCAGCACTGGCACCTGGAGATAGTTCCAATTTGCGGAAAGTCCGCATCCTATCTTTGAACAGTTCAGAGACATCATCAAGATCACGCAATTCAATGCCGGGATCAATCCCATCGTCCCACGCAGTAAAAGCTCGGTGAAAGACTGAAAAGATATGGCAAAGCCGGTCACTAGCCGCATGCCCTGCTGAAGCCGCTGGATGCGGGGCCCAACGAGGAGTGCCAAGAAACAATGTCACAAAGCAATCGTCGAGTCTTCCAAGGTCTTCTGAGAGATTAGGGAAATTCTCCACGAACGCCTCACCCATCAGGAAAGTAGAAGTGACGTGACCAATGAAATTGCTCACAAGTGCAAACAAATTGGCTTCGCAAACTGTCTGGTCCCCTTCATCGGGAAGTTCAACTCCACTGATGCCACGCTCCCAGGGATATTGGTCAACAATGCTCCGGCAGAAGCTCACCAGATTCGGCATTTCACGTTGCACCAAGCGGGTAATAGCAGACGAAGCCTCGGCGACAAAAGCTTCTTCGTTGAGAATGGTAGGAGCCTTGTCGCTAACTCCTTGGTGACGATCCATATCCAGATGGCGGATGAGGCCGCGGTCGCCAAAGACGTTATGCAGAGCCTGATCGAGCACCTGGCTGTGTGTTGTAGCAGATTTGACAGATAAAGCAGTCTTCATCATAGATGGAGAAGCCACAACATTGTGCTTCACACCGCGAATGTAAATACCAAATACAGGCTCATTCATGGATTTCCTAGAATCTTATTAGCAGGTGCGTAGAATGGCAATGTAGTGTAATACCAACCGAGTTCTTGTAAAGAAAGTGACATGATTCCATAAGAAGGCAGGGCCATGCCCAATCCAGGGAAACCAATAAGGTGCTAGTCGCACCGTCTGTGGTTTTGAAGGATCTCGCTCACGTCGACTTTGAAGCCCCGAGATAATCCGGGTTGTGATGCATACGAACACCACAATAGCAAAAACCGTTGACCAATTTACACCGAAATATTTCTCACGGATGGCCTGTACAAGACTCAAAGTTTCGTATCTCTCCATTGTGATCGAAATAATGTCCAAAACAAACCCTGTCATGCAAGATAACACGGTTTTACAGCGCCAGCACCCACTCAAGGGCTCGAGGTAGATAATATGGTATGACAGACAATTCGAATTGATTCACTCCAGAGATTTTCAAAATTAAATATATCCTCAGGTGAAGGGTGAAGGGACACGATGGCAAACGGAGGGTGTCTTTTTCTGGCTGACTAAGCTCAAGAGACTGGGGCCCCCGATGAGATGCTCTATTTTTGGTCGGTGATTTTCTTTTGATTTTCAATCTTTTCAAAATAGATTGCGATTTCTTTCTATATCCTGATAGAAGGTCTTCGGATAATACTGTGAATAATCGAATTAAAGTTGATATCGCTTGGTTTACGTTTATACTACCTATTAAACCCGACAACAGATCTATACCCATATGATGTAAATTGGAGGTTATAAAACATGAGTCAAACAAAGAAAGAACTGGATTCAGCCCCATGGTATCATCAGTAATGGAGTGTAGTATTGAGATGAGATTGATACAGTAGCTAAAAGCTTAATTCTCCTTCTGCAAACCCTTTGACAAGGCAGCACTTTCACCCTCATACTTGAGAATCTTCGATTGAGATCCGTGGACTTTGCGCAGAAGCCACTCAATCCGTGAAGTTAGCTCCCAGGGGTGTTTTGGAAGCGAGCCAAGTACCTGCAGTTCCTCCTCATACTTCGTGATGCTTGAATTCTCTTTGCCAATAAGCTGGGAGAGAATTAACAGATCAAGGCGACCCTGCAAGGTCTTGTTCGCAACCAGACGTTGGAAAGCAGCGCGATACACAGGTTTGCCTGCCTTGACGTATCGTGGAAATCCTTTGTCGGTTCCAATGGAGATGAGCTCTGCTTGCTCGAGTGCCCGGAGAGTAGCCTCGCCGTTGTCCTTGAAGATATCGTCGAGGAGGACTTTGTTGTACAACAGGCTTCCATCCTTAGAGTGTGCGATAGACTTGATCAGATGCCACGCCTGTTCACGGGTCCATTGAGGTGCGATCGACTCTGTTCCGAGGATGAAGATTTTCAGGATTTCAGACGCCGACTGTTCAATAATACGGTCCACAGCAGCTATACAATGGTTAGTAGAATCCTCAAGGCAAGAACCAAAGATAAAATGCAAACTTACCTTCAGGGGTCTCTCCGGCCTCAATGCGATGGGCCATGAACTCCAAGTCAGTAATTCGACCACCCAGCACCTTGATACAATAATCCAAGCCACGAAGCGTCTCTTTGCGCCTTGCATTCTGTTCATCGTCACCATCACCTGCCTCTGCATCCAGATGACTCAACACGAAACGACGACCAACTTCGAGCGAGCAGTCACCCAAGGCAATTGTGCGGAATACTTGATTAGGCAGGGCTTTGCTCAGTGGCTTTGCAAAAGAGGAATCAGTCGTCAAGAAGATGACATGGGCGATGTTTGCAGATGTCAGACCAGCCGCCCATTCAGTAAGTTTGTCGAGCACGACACTATCATCCGCATCATAGAGGAAATTGTCAATTACAACGACAGGTCTCACCTCGGGATGAGCCTCCAGGTATTCATCTTCGGACATATTGAAATCTTTGTCCTCCTTTCGTCTACCTTCCAAGGCGACTCGTTTCATAGCGACACCAGTATTCTGCCAGATCTTGCTCAACTGCGCATCTAGCGTCTCGGAGAAGCCAGCCTTGGTGCCAATCATCCCCTGTGCAGCAAGGTCAATGAAGCTGCTGATGCTGTTCATCCAAGAGAAGATCGGTCGGTAGCCGACCTGAGCGGCTGCTCGCGAAATCTTGGATGTATCGCCCCGAGCATCTTGGATTTGCTTGCAGTCAATGATGACCTTGTACTTATGGTCTTTCAGAGCTTGTTCAAAAACCAGTTCTCGTTTCCCTGAGCCCCGAGGACCATGGATAACAATGAATGTCTCCGCGGTCTCCGTTAACCAGGCTCGCAGTTGCGAAATCTCTGCTTGTCGGTCTTCCCAGATAGCCGCTAGACCTCGCGGGTCCGACTTCCGCTTCCCAAATGAGAACATGCTCGCTTTACTGGCTTGTCTGCGGACCCACTGCAGCACTGCATTCTCTTCACTCTGGAACGAAGACTTAATTTTGAGCGTGATGAAGAATGTGCGAATTGGATCGAAGATGATGACCGTGATAGTAGCTATGAGAGCAGCTATCGCAGGGATCACTAGCCTTGGATGATTCAAAATCCAATCCTTGATCATAGACAACTTGATTCTGCGCTCGTAGTTGATCTTGAACCTTGTGCCGGACTTGCCACCCCCTGCTTCTTCAGAGACAATAAATCCGTGCATACAATTTCTTGCCATCACGGCGAACCGAGGGCGCTCGAATCGCAGAATTGCATATCGTGGTTCGACTTTCGAATCTGAGGGCTGTGTTTGGATGTCCAGAAGTTTGCCGTAAGGTCGAAACATTGAGTATAGGGACTCTTGAGTTAACTCAACCGCTGAATTATCTGGGGAAGTTGGCAAGAATTCCACCTTTAAGGTCTGGCTTGGGATTCGATAGAGGTCTTCAATCCACGGCGTTCCGCGAACAAGGTCTGCATCGACTTTCAGGATTGGATTGAACCAGGGCTTAATGGGATTGGTTTTCAAATGCTCCTTGATTGCATTTTGGATAGTTTCGGTGCTAATATCCGACTTGAGCGCATACTTCACGAATGCGCCTCCCTCCTTGTACCTCGTCACGACTTCTTTGATCTCCAGATCTAGATCTCTTGGAAAAGCTCGTTGGACAATACGAGTCGGCTCAGCCGCCGCTAGTTCTGGGTTGTTGACTCGTGTCAAAAATCTCTCGAGAGGCTGAATATGGCTGAGGGGTCCCCGCAGCAGCCATTGTAGTCGGTGCGGAAATATATCTAGAACTAGTTAATGGATAGACATGATAGCTTGCCATAACTTGGCACTCACTATTGACATAGATAATTCCTTCGTTTTTTCCTACCGAAATATGTCCCGACTGGATAGAAGATGTGCATCGTATCATCGAGCGTCCCCAAAGCGGAGCTCTCCACCCCCGGGACGCATTGGCGCTAATATGGGAGCGTGTCGTAGACCAAACGGCCAACGGACCTTTTGATAAGGATGTCGATCTCATCCTGATCATAGACACATACCGAATATAGCAAAAAATAAAGCTTGGAAGAGTGATCAAGTGAGGTAAATCAACTTGCCAAATTAATGACGTCGGTTCGTGACTGGTTATCGGAGTCACATGACATCTTGATTACCGCGAAAAGATAACCTCGCGATTTCAAGGTGTCGCGATAGATCCACCAATTCTTTCCACTCGCAAACCAAAATGGCCTGGCTGTGGGGATCAAGTCCCAAGGATGTCTCCAAGGAAATTCCCAAGGATATTTCCTCCACAATTCCCATGGAACCACCAAAGCAGAATGCACCATCGAAGACCTTGACCCCCGACGAACAAGCCGACTTGGAGTTCAACCAAATCCTGGCCGATCTCAGAGCTGAGGATGCGTCGCTCTCAAAACGAACAGGGCTGACCTCCGATGGCAATCCGTCACCAGAATCCCAAACACCTTCATCACCCATCTCTCCCGAGTCGCTTTACCAAGATACCATGTCCTGCCGCAATGCCTTCGATTACGCCTTCTTCTGTCAGTCCTTCGGAGGCCAATTTGTGAATGTCTATCGATATGGAGAACTACGGTCATGCAGTGATCACTGGGATAATCTCTGGCTGTGCATGAAGACACGAACTTGGCCGGAAGATTTACGCAGGAGAGAAATCCGAGACCACAACCGGAAGAAAGCGATTAAGTACAAGACAGGCCCCAGCAGTGAGGATGTCTGGGATGTGCGTCTAGACCCAGCCAAAAACTCGTTCAAGGGAGATTTTGCCACAATGTGGCAGGAGATGAAGGCTGAAGATGAAGTAGCGAAACAACAGGCGGAACAGGCGGCTTCATGATGTTCCTTGTTTCTCTCTTCTCTTCTTGTTACGATATGTAGATATACACCCTTTTGTTTCATTTACTCATGTATAATATGATACTCTCCATTTCCTCTGCGTATCGGCGTTTGTTCGATGGTCACGGAGGACCCTGCGGATCCGCATACAGCAATAGCGCTTTAAAGGCTGTTTCTTGCTACACTATATGGTTTCATATGATTGGGATTTCTCGGATCTTTCTTGACGTGGGTTTCATAACTATACCCCATGACTTATCAAATTCTACCGAAGGAAGAGAATGATGCCGAAGTAGATTGATTGAGTTGCTCAAGAGATGCTTGAAGAACACCACGCAAATGAACGACCTGAAAATTAGAAAAATTGTTAGCAAACCTCAAAGCCCGTAGACACAGGAGACATGTCTCGGGATATTAAAGAGGAAACCCAAAACATACTTGCCTCATATTCTTTCATATCATCATCATCAAATCATAAAATGTTATACGCCTCCTTCTGCCGTGTGTCTATGAAACCTAAGAAGGCGGGCAAAATATCTATAAAAAAGACATCTTAAAAGACATTCGAAAAGATTAACCAAAAAGACGTTACTCGGCCGCGTTTGCGGCCGAGTATTCTTGTTGGGTATATATACTGGGAAGCTGTGAGTAGCCGCCGTGCATATAAAAGTTCAACTGCGGAGCAAGCTTGTAAGACCTATTGTAAAGAGCAATTCAAAAGGTTAGCATTCAGTTCAATAGAAGGCAGGTAACGAAGGTGATGTTCTTCAAATATCTGGTTGTCCAATCCAAACTTCATTCTTTTATTACTGTTCATCTTCCTCCTCTATAAACTGGAGCCGTGTCTTGATGTGCTTCCTTACTCGATCTTCAATTTCCGCTATCCTAGCATTGACAGAACTCTTACTGTGCGTGCTGCACGTAGAGGAAGTCATACTAGCCGTAGATGAAGGCGTGACCTTTCGCAGAGTCACAGTCTCAATCCCCGGATCGGCATCGAGGTTCAACTTCTTGCTGAGTCTCTTTACCTTAGGGCTAGTGGGATGATCAACGGTGAGCTTGGCCATGGCAGCAGTGATGTCAGCGATATCAGATGGACCAGAGGCACCACCAACTGGAGTAGATCGACCGCTCAGGTCTCCGGGGTGGGAGGTTGGAAGCCAGGCGCGACCTTCGGTACCTGTGGAGTGCCTGTGCATCTTTGTTCGGAGGCTAGCCTCAACACTACTACCGCGCCTTGATATTCGCCCATCATTATAGTGGCGGATGGAACGTCGCTCACCGTCGAGCTCGCGGTCAGTGATGAAGCCGTTTGGGTTGAGATCGCTGGCAGCCTCGGTCGTCTTATTGGCTTCGTTGCTCATGATTGCAATGGATAGGACATGTGAATCTGTGAAATAAATAAGCTGGATTAGTTAGAACGAATGAATAGAGTGGAGTGGTCCGAAAAAGCAAGGGATATAAGGACAATTATGTAGTTCAGCCATCATCGCTGGCCATGCAAGTTTAACAAGGGGGAAGTTGCCAAAGAAAGATCGACAAAGATATTGTTGACGCTTCAGCTCTTTTTTCTTTCTCTCAAAGACATAGAGAGCCTCAAAGAAAACGAGACATTCAGCTTTACAGACGGATTTGAAACAATCATGGAACATAGTAAGATTTGCAGAAAAGCTATGTACAGCAGAAATAGAGAGACCACCGAATGGCAGAAGCTCTAGAAACCTTGCAGACCTGGAAAAAAAGAAAAAAGAAAACGCTGAAGCAAAAACAACATGATGAAAATAAAGGATAGAAAGCAAAACTCAAGAAAGTGCAATACTGAAGGCTTTTTCATTCGCGCAGAGAATCAACCCCATGGAATCCCGTCTAAGTCACAAGTTTATCCATGAAACTTTTATCGTGAAAATGGCCGTCAAAGTCGTAAACATGTCCCGCATCGCTGCTAGACTAAGCAGCAACCTCAGTGGGCTGGGGGACGGAGTCGATGGCAGGACGACGGACGATACCACCGGTGACTGGAAGCTGGGAGCTGGTTCCGCTGAGGAAAGTATCCACCTCGCGAGCACACTGGCGACCTTCATTGATACCCCTGGGATTATATTAGTAAATTGCTAGTCATAATAATTGGACGAAAACTCACCAGACAATCAAAGACTGTCCACGGCGACAGTCACCTGCCGCATAGACACCGGGAATATTGGTCGAGTAGTGGCCGGGGGGAGTCTTGATGTTCTTACGAGGATCAAGTTCGATATCTTCACCAAAGACACGATCCTCGGGACCCAAGAATCCCATAGAGAGGAGCACAAGGTCAGCGGGGAAGAATTGCTCGCTGCCCTCGACAGTCTTCATGTCCCAGCCGCCGGTAGCGCTCTTGGTCCACTCAACACGGACAGTATTGATGCCCTTGACACAGTTGTTGCCATCGTCAACGAACTCGGTCGACATGACACAGTACTCACGTGGGTCCTTGCCCATGTGGGTCTTGACCTCGGTGTGACCATAGTCGACACGGTAGATGCGGGGCCACTGTGGCCAGGGATTGTCACGGGCACGTTCTGGGGGAGGCTGGGGCAACAACTCGAAGTTGGTCACCGACTTGGCACCATGGCGGACAGAGGTACCGATACAATCGTTACCGGTATCACCACCGCCAATGACGACAACGTGCTTGTCCTTGGCAGAGATGTATTCACCATCCGAGAGACCAGAGTCGAGGAGGGACTTGGTGTTCTTATGCAAGAACTGCATGGCAAAGTGCACGCCATCCAATTCACGACCAGTGACCTTGAGATCACGCGCAACGGTGGCACCAGTGGCAACAATGACAGCATCATTTGTGGCACGGAGAGACTGCAGAGAAACCTCACAGTCAGGGCCAACAGCAGTGCTCGCAACGAACTTGATACCTTCAGCGGCCATGAAGTCAATACGGCGCTGGACAACCTTCTTGTCAAGCTTCATGTTGGGGATACCATACATGAGAAGACCACCCATTCGGTCGGCACGCTCATAAACGGTGACGCTGTGACCAGCGCGGTTAAGCTGATCAGCAGCAGCCAGGCCAGCAGGCCCAGAGCCGATGATAGCAATGGTCTTGCCAGAGCGGGTCTTAGGGGGGCGGGGAACCATCCAGCCCATCTCGAATCCACGGTCAATGATCGCACACTCGATGGACTTGATACCGACGGGGTCTTCGTTGATGCCTAGAACACAGGAGCCTTCGCAAGGTGCAGGACAAACACGACCGGTGAACTCGGGGAAGTTGTTGGTCATAAGAAGACGGTTCAAAGCATCCTGCCATTGGGCCGCAAACACCAATTCGTTCCATTTAGGAATGATGTTGGAAATAGGGCAGCCAGTGTCGGACTGGCAGAATGGAACACCACAGTCCATACAACGGGCAGCCTGGTACTTGAGCTCGTCCTCGCTGAGGCGGTGGGAGATCTCGCCCCAGTCGCGGGTACGGGTTGTTGCGCTGCGATACTTCTCACTGCGGCGGCTGTACTTCATGAAACCTCTTGTTTTGTCCAAGATCAATGCAGATCGCTTTTTCTCAGTCTTCGAGTCGCTAATGCTGTCTTCGATATCCAGCAAGTCAGTCTTCTTAGAGTCATCAACCTTGGCCTTTTCGGCTTTGACCGGGGTGCTAGGAAGCTGAGGAAGAGTGAATTCGGCCTTCTTCGCAGCCTCTGCCTTGGCAGCCTCTTCCTCCATGACGCGCTTGTAGTCAGTTGGCAGGACCTTGACGAAATGGGGGAGAGCACGGGTAAAGTCGAGTAGGATGCGAGCAGCCAACTCAGACCCAGTGTAATGGTGGTGATCTTCAACCAAACCACGAACAAAGGCAATCTCCGATGGGTCTTCAATACTGGAGATCTCAACCATCTCCAAGTTGACCTTGGAATGGAAGTCCTGGTTCTTATCCAGAACGTAGGCAATACCACCAGACATACCAGCAGCGAAGTTGCGGCCAGTGGGTCCGAGGTTGAGTACACGACCGCCAGTCATGTACTCACATCCGTGGTCACCAACACCCTCAACCACGACAGTAGCACCAGAGTTACGGACAGCAAAACGCTCAGCGGCCATACCACGGAAGTAGCAAGTTCCGCGGGTGGCACCGTAAAGACAAGTGTTACCGACGATGACGTTTTCTTCGGCCTTGAAAGCGGCTCCGCGCGGGGGGTAGACGATGAGACGGCCACCAGAGAGACCCTTGCCGACATAGTCGTTGGCATCACCTTCAAGCTCAAGGGTAACACCAGGGGCGAGGAAAGCACCAAAGGACTGACCAGCAGAGCCCTTGATGTTCGCGTGGATGGTGTCCTGAGGAAGACCAGCTTCACCGTAGCGTCTGCTGATCTGATAGGAGAGAGTAGCACCCAGAGCACGGTCGGTGTTAACGACATCACACTCAATTCGGCAGGGTAGACCCTTCTCAAGAGCGAGCTCCGATTCAGCAATCAACTTGTTGTCCAAGCGGGTGTGAAGGCGATGATCCTGCTTGCGGACATTGTAGGTAGCGACTCCAGGGCGAAGTGAGTGCGCGGGGGTCAGGATGAGTGACAAGTCAATTCGTTCCTGCTTGACATTACGAATATCGTCCCGGACCTTAAGCAGCTCGGCACGACCGACCATCTCATTGACCGAACGAACACCCAGTCTGGCCATAATAGCACGCATCTCGTTGGCGACATAGTAGAAGAAGTTAATAACGTGCTCCGGAGTACCCTTGAATTTCTGTCTCAGTTCGGGATCCTGAGTCGCAATACCAACAGGGCAGGTATTCAGGTGACATTTCTAGGGGAAACATATCTGTTAATAGGCTGCTCGTTAAAAAAAAAAAAAGAGACTAAATGTACTCACCCTCATCATAATGCATCCTAATGCGATCAAAGGAGTTGTGGCAAACCCATATTCTTCCGCTCCAAGCAGACAGGCGATGGCAAGATCACGGCCGGTACGAATTTGGCCATCAGTCTGGACCACAACACGACCACGAAGATCGTTCAAAACCAGAGTTTGATGAGTCTCCGCAAGACCCAATTCCCAAGGAAGACCGGCATACTTGATACCGGTCCAGCGCGAGGCACCGGTGCCACCATCATGACCAGAGATCAAGATGTGATCAGCCTTGGCCTTGGCCACACCAGAGGCGACAATACCAACACCAACCTCAGATACGAGTTTGACAGAGACACGAGCTCGGGGGTTAGAGCACTTGAGATCGTAGATAAGCTGCTTCAGATCTTCAATGGAGTAGATGTCGTGGTGCGGGGGCGGGGAGATAAGACCGACTCCCGGTGTGGAGAACCGAGTGCGAGCAATGGGGCCGACGACCTTGTGACCGGGTAATTCACCACCCTCACCGGGCTTGGCACCCTGGGCCATCTTGATTTGCAGTTCATCAGCATCGGCTAGGTAGTTGGATGTCACACCAAAACGACCAGAAGCAATCTGCTTGATAGCGGACCGCATCGTGTCGCCGTTCTCCATTCTCTTGCTGCGCTCGGCATCTTCACCACCCTCGCCTGTGTTGGACTTGCCGCCTAAGCGGTTCATGGCAATGGCAATTGTGGAGTGGGATTCCATGGAGATGGATCCGTAGGACATGGCACCGGTCACGAAACGGCGGACAATTTCGGTCCAAGGCTCGACCTGGTCAATGGGAATTGGGGTACGCTGGTCGAAATCGAAGTCCAGCATTCCACGCAAAGTACAGTTCTTAATCTGCTCATGTGCGGACTTGGCATAAGCCTCGTAGGACTTGTCGTTCTTGGTGCGAACAGCATCCTGCACGTTGGCAATGCTGGTGGGATCGTTGATATGGGCCTCTCCTCCATCACGCCAGTGGTACTCGCCGGATTCCGGCAGACCGGGAACTTCAACAATTGGACGCGAAGGGTAACCACGCTCGTGGAAGGCGAAAGCGTCCTGAGCAATCAGATCGAATGTGATACCACGGATGCGACTGGCAGTGCCAGAGAAGCAGCGATCGATAACGCTGTCGTCAATACCAAGGGCTTCGAAAATCTGGGCACCCTTGTAGGACTGGAGAGTAGAGATACCCATCTTACTCATGACCTTAAGGATACCACCATCACAGGAAGACTGGTAGTTTTGAACAACCTTCTCATCGGGGATGTCCTTGCGAATCAACTTCTCCCGGTTCATCTTGAGAATACATTCTAGAGCCAGGTAGGGGTTGATGGCATCGGCACCATATCCGAGCAAGACACAGTGGTGGTGGACCTCGCGAGCCTCAGCAGTTTCAACTGCCAGGGCGGCAAGCGATCTCCACTTGTTTCGGACGAGATGGTGGTGGACCAGACCGGTAGCCAACAAGGTAGAAACTGGAACA